CGGTTCCTCCATGGAGGTTTTCAAACAGAGGCTAGATGACCATCTGACAGCAATGCTTATTCTGTGAAGTTAGGCAGATCATGAGAGGGAGGGCAGGAAGGGTTGCCTCAGTGCTTAGTTCTTGTGGCCCTTTCTTACACGCCCAGGGAAATGCTGATCGCCACTTTGGGATCAGGAAGCAATTTTTCTCCAGGCCAGTTTGGCTGGAGATCTTGGAGCTTTTTTGTTATCTTCTGGGCATGGAACAGCGGTCACTGGGGGCATGGGGGGAGTATTTGTGAATTTCCTGCATTGTGCAGAGGGTTGGACTAGATGACCCTGGAGGTCCCTTCCAACTCTATGATTCTATGATGGAGGCAGGAACTGAAAATCTTTAACAATTTCAGTTTCTTCATCATCGACCTTAAAGTTGTGTCATTCCTCAGTAGTCATTAATGCTGAATCATTGAGTAGTCACTAATTTATATAATAGCATTATGATACGTCTGTGTAAGGAATTATTAGGACAACAAAACAAAACAAAATTAAATAGGACTTTTCCATTTTTCCTGCACAGGCAACATATTCTTCAATGGCTTCATTAAGGACTCTTTCCTGAGTGGTCCTACACAGTATTCCCCATATGTGGTTAGGAGTTTTAGTCCCTGCATACATCATTTTGCACTTCCATTAAATTTCTACTGCCCAGTCTACAGAGATACTTTTTGGCTTTTCACACTGTTTTGTTTTTAATTTTACAACAAGGATTATTAAGCATACTATGCAAATATGGGTACCTAACTTAACCCATGATTTCAAATAATACAAAACACCAATGAGTAACAGTCTCTCCAAGGGTCTCTCACTAGCAAGTCCTCATGTATTGACTTTTTCAGTCACATTTGTGAAAGTGGTGGGGAGAATATGTTAGGATGGACCCTTTCGTGGAGCTATCCTGCTATTAAAACTGATCTCCAAACAACAAAGATCAGTTCCCCTGGAGAAAATGGCTGCTTTGGAGGGCATTATGTCCTGCTGAGGTTCCTTTCTTCATCAAACCCCACCCTTCCCCACACTGCACCCCCAAATTTTCCAGGTATTTTTCAACCCAAAGCTGGCAGCCCTAGCTCAACTACATTAAACATTAAACTAAAATAAACATTTCCCAATTAAAAGTGTGGGACTCCAAAGTACAATGGTGAATGTAAACACCACATCTCTCTCTTATATATAAAGCTCATTTCATGTGACTCCTGGAACACGCTCCCACAGGCTTTGGCCAGGGGACCTGTAGATCACGGTCTTGCCATCTATTGGTGGCTGCATTGCCAAGGTCTCGCCATTCATTGGTGGCTGCATGCCCATGTGTTGTCAATGTCCCACCCACCCTCTGACAGAAACACTGCTTAGCCTTTCCACCTCAGTAAGCTGCGAGGCGAAGGAGGCGGCGCGCACTCTGGCGGCCGAAAGGGCTTGCTCGCCCGGCACCCTGCCTTCTCACCTCCTTCTCCCCGTCTGGCGGCTCTTCCTGCTTCCATGGTGTGATGCCTGCTGCCCTGCTGCTGGATTTTGCTGCTTCGCCCAGACCCACACTCCTCCACCCCCCCTCACTCCACATTGGTCAAGGGTCGTGGGCTGGTGATGGTGATGGTGCAGCTGCTGGGTAGCCTTCTGTCTCGCTGGTGACTGCCTGTGGCTCCCGGCGGGGACTGGCACACGCTCGGCCCCGCGCTCCTCCATGGCTCCAGGTGGGTCAGGGGCCGTGGGCCATTGGAAGCAAGATTTTTTTGTGTCTAGCTCTTGGTATTTGGCAATAATGAAATCATGTCTAGATTCTAATTTAAGTCTCCAAATCTTCCTTGGCTTCAAGGCTGTTGCCATGGAATTCCATGGGTATTTGGTTTTTAAAATACTGTCTCAATCACTTACGACACCTCACCAATAATTTAAAATACCATCTATATTTTCAAATGCATTTTCAAATGCCACGCACTTCAGAAGGGGAAAAAACTCTTCTGTTTTCCAAATTGTTGTTAATTTTAAGTTTCTACTTTTTGTTTGCTCTGATTGTCTCAGTTAAAAGCCTTGTTGTATTACAGCTATAAAAACATGCCACTTCCAGCCCGCTATTTGTTTAGTTCAGCCAGCAATCTATTTTAATGCTGGAAAGTAGATTTAATAACAGGGATATTTTAAACAATTTGTGTGATAATCATTTTCATCTAGACTTAATTTAGGCTGGCTCTCAAGCAATGCTTTTTAAAAAACACCCTGACACACAATAGAATGTAAATGGATGCATTCATCTTGTACAATGCAGAATTTTTCTTTGTGCTCCTGTCATGCATTTAGACCAAGACCTTCCCCAAGATACCCTAGTCATTATACTAGCCACAAGGGTTAGTATTCCTTTGGCAGATCTCTTGTCTCTATTTTAGTGGCGACCAGGTGGGGGATATGGGGGAGGAGGTGGCCACCAGTGATGGTATCATATCCAGAGTCAGCCCTGGAAGTGACATATCACACCTGTCTGGGTATCACCAAAAACGTAATGGTAAAACCAATTCCTAGAGAGGTATGAAATCACTTCCAGGTTTTTAACAATTTGGAATGCAGTGTTGGAACAGTAAGCCCAACCTTTTTCAAACTGGTGCAAGATAGAGAAAATGAGGATTTATATGTTTTAAAAGCCCACTGTTCGGTGGCTCAAGTGGTTAAGACGCTGAACTGCAGGCTGTGGAAGGTCAGTAGTTCAGCAGTTCAAGACCCGGGTGCCGCAAGACGGGGTGAGCTCCGGTCTCTAGTTCCAGCTCCTGCCAACCTAGCAGTTCGAAAGCAAGAAATTGCAAGTAGATAAATAGGTACCACTTCGGTGGGAAGGAAATGAGAAATTCGTAGTCCAGGCGGATGCCTCCGATGTGGCCAGGGGGGGGGGGGGGTTTTTTTCCAAGGGGGAAGCTGAAGCCTGATGAAACTTATTCAAACTTAACCGATGTAGAACTTGATGTTGGGACCGTTACTATGGTTAAGTTTCTTTGGAACAACAACATGATAAACCCAACTTTACCCAAACTGGGAGCAGCAAAAGTTGCAGTACAAGATGGAGAAAATGGGAATGTGTAAGTATACATTTGCTGGTTTTTGTTTTTGTTTTTTAATGAAAAAAACACAAACCTAGTTATATATTAAATCATCTCTGTTCTGCATGGTTTACATAGGCTTTAACATACTGATCAACAGGATGCTATTTTTATGTTATTTTAAAATAATTTATTTGTTATTTTGTAAGACAATACTTGGATTTTAGCTAAAACAGGGACTGTTGTGAAGAGTTGTTTGAGTGGGCAACATTACAATTGGCGGCTGGGCTCTCTGACGGCGGACGTGTGTGCGGACGTGTGTGCTGATAGCTCCACATGTTTAGCCCTACCTTTAGCTTTCTAGGCTATTACAATGCCTTCTCACTTTTCTTCTGTCATGGAACACAAGGCAGCGTATAAAGGGTTTCAAAGAGTTCTCCCAAACAAGAACTGGCCGAGACGCAGGCTGACCCCACACGAAAACTATAAGGGAACATGTGCAGCCACTACATCTTTCTGCTTATTTCTCTGCAACAAAATAGCTAGAGGGTTTTTTTTAATATAAGCTGTCAATTCACAGGAACTAGTATATTATGACAAAACTTGCAAAGCAGGATAACTGTATAAAGATCACAAAATGAACATGGCAAGCCCTTGATTTCCATAGAAGGAAATCTGCATAAGCATAGGAGCATACTCCCTTTCATTGAACTGAACAGAGAAGAGAATGGATTTATACCCCACCCTTCACTACCTGAAGGAGTCTCAGAGTGGCTTACAAACTCCTTTCCCGTCCCCTCCCCACAATAGACACCCTGTGAGGTAGGTGAGGCTGAGAGCTCTTTCAAGAACTGGAGAGAAGAGCTCTAACAGAACTATGGCTTGCCCAAGGTCATCCAGCAGCTGCAAGTGGAGCAGTGGGGAATCAAACCTGGTTCTCCCAGGCTAGAGTCCGTGCACTTAACCACTACACCAAACTAGGGCAGAATTCTGAATGTGAAACAGAATTCCAAAGGAAAAAAGAATATATGTCATGGGGCATAAATGTGGTAATGAGTCCCGTTATCCTTCAATAAGACTACCTTTAACTAAATCACCAAACATTCTTTAAAGAGTCAGTGTGGTGTGTTGGACTAGGTCCAGGGAGACCCAGGTTCAAATGCCACATTCAACATGAAGAAACCTTATTGCCTGACCTTGGTCCAGTCATTCCCTCTCAGTCTAACCTACTTCACAGGACTGTTGTGAGGATAAAATGGAGGAGAGAATCACATATGTCACCTTGAGTTCCGTGGAGGAGGGGTAGGATAAAAACTGTAGTAATATGTTCTTAAAATGCTTTCTAAACAACCAGCACCTTCCTAGCACTGGAGGCATTTAACAAATGAAAGCAAAGTCAACAAAGGTATGAAGATGAAAAAAAACAGTAATAAATTAAAAGGAAAATAAGAAATATAAAGAAAATGAGCTGGCTTTTTAAATTAATTTTGCTCACTCTGTATGATGCAAGCTAGCCTAGTTCTTTAAAAAAAGAACTACAATACAAGAGCAACCAGAAAGTATTTAAGCTAACATTACTGTTTGTTTATCCCAGATTCAATTTATGTGGCAGTGGAACAGTAAGAGAAGATGTTCTACAGACACTAACACCGTGCTAAGAAAATGCAAGGACTATAATGCAAATCTTAATAAAAAGTAATATTACTTGGTTAGTTTGTTTCAAAGGTTTTGGCATCTGTGGTCGTTATTGGTGCATAGTATTATCTGCTTCTGGTACCTATTCGGGCCGGGAGGGCAGGGCAGCCAAAGTAGGCAGAGCCAACTAGTTCTGACCTTCTCGGAATCCTCCCTCCTTGTGAACATGGCAGAAGAAGACATTCTAGAACACTTCTCAAAGTGTACAAGAGTTGAACATTGATCCTCATACAGATGCCATCTTAATGCAACCTCTCCTTTTGCAAGTATGTTTACAGCTCAGCAGAAATGCCCAATACAGGAAAGAAATACTGTCACGTGCCCGTTGTACCTTGAAACCCACCACTAAACGCTCTAGTCAGACAAGACAAGTTTATGAGACAAAGCACAATATGAGCACCACAGGCAGTGCCGGATTTACGCATAAACTAAATAAGCTACAGCTTAGGGCCTCGCAATCTGCTGGGGCCTCGAATAAAAACACAATATAAAAAATGATTTCAAATATTAAAAAGGCGTATATATTTTAAATTTTTCTGAGACCAGCCCGTTGTACCTTGAAACCCACCACTAAACACACTAGTCAGACAAGACACGTTTATGAGACAAAGGACAATATGAACACCACAGGTATCAATTTAATGCAGAACTCCCCAAAAACCTAGCTCAAGAACTCATTTTCTATGTTCTAAAGTGACACAAAGCAGGACGTCTTTTGGCTAAGTCAAAGGCTCTCCTTCACCATTGCATACAACTATCCCAAATGAGATTCAGGGCTGCTGGTTCCAGAAGAGACTTTCACAAGATCCAGCCCCTTTGCTTTCATTTTTCAGAAGTTCTCATAACATACTTATAGGGAGCACATGTAGAGTACCTTTAATGCAGCACTAATGGTGCAATGTTATGCATGCTCAACCAGAAGCAAGTCCTTCTATATTCAATATGATTCAGTCTCAAGAAGCCTGTACAAAATCACCACCTGAAAATAATTTCAGCAATGAAACTTATATTGAAAGGGGGAAAGCTCAAGCCTTTTCTCTTAAACAGAGATTGTGTTCAACAACTGAACTACTGAAGAAGTTACTTCCCATAACCCTTCTTCAAATCCCCAGAGCTGGAAAGAAGGCTGAAGAGCAATAATTTCCCCTCACATTAGAAGTGACGCCTCTCTCTGTTTTTTGCTACAGCAGCAAGATTTCACTTTGAGTCTCCTACCTCCGAAAAGCTTTCTCTCCAGGCTGTCCTCTCTTACTAAAAGAAAATGACTGCCTTCTTCTTTGGTCAAAGGAGCAAAAAAACAAAACGGGCATTTTTTAAAAGAGCATCCTGGATTCATAGGCCTGAGTCTGAATGGAGGCGTTAAAGAGACAGTACACTACTTCCCCGGGGTTTTGGTAGACTGCAAAATGCAACCTCTGAGGCAGTTCCTGATTGGCCCACTCCAGGTCACTGGACTCTGATGGATCCACTGACCAATCACGGGCTCACAGGATGGCTCCTTGCCCAATTAACTAGTGTCCTCATGTAGGTAATTGGGCCTAGTGGGGGGTGGGCGGGTGGTAGGGCGGTATTTGCTCGCCTATGGTGTTGAATTAAAACACAGCACAGACCAGTTTATCTGGAACCTGCTATTCCTGACCGCCCCCAGGTGAAAACAGTAAAGAGGAAGGCAGGAGAGAGCTGAGGGTCTGCCTGAATTTTGGGGGGACTGACATGTTTGCCTTAAGAAACTAGCATCCACTGATTTTGGATGGACATCCAAATTAGGACTGCCAATCTCCAGGTAAGGGCTGGAGTTCTCCCAAAATTACCACCGATCTCCAGACTCTATTAGTTGTTTATTAATGAATTATTTAAAACATTTATTCTACTTAAACAAACAACAACAACAAAAAAGATTAAATCCTCATTCCCTTTGGGCTCAACAAGTTACTAGGAATGCTAGGCTATACCTAGCTTAAAAATGAAAATCAGAGATGCTTTACTTACAGATAGACCAGCTAGTTCTAACCTTAAATGTGTATGTTTCATTGACATTTTTTGTTCCTTTGCTGTTGATTTTTTCATACCCTTTTGCCAAGGGGTGTGAAATTGTTCTCAAAGAGAAGAGGGATTGTGCCTTTTTTTTTTTTTGCTGAAACCACTGCACTAACACCCCCTTGCCTTACTCCAGTTGAACATAATATAAGGTTGCCAAGTTGCCAACTCTGGGTTAGGAAATACCTGGCGATTTATGGGAGGAGCCTGGGGAGGGTGGGGTTTGGAGAGGGACCTCAGTGGCATATAATGCCACACAATTGCCTCCAAGGGAGCTAATCCCTGTTGCCTGGAGATCAGTTGTAATTCTGGAAGATCTCCAGGCCCCACATGGAGGCTGCAACCCTAGTTGGTAGCTGGGGATGTGGATTTACATGCCCAGGAGCATCCCATTGAAAGTAATGCAGCACAGACACATGGCATCTGAAAGTGCATTTGGTATTTAGGGTTGCCAATTCCAGGTTCAGAAATACCTGGATATTTGAAGGTGAAGCCTGGGAAAGTGGGACTAAGGGAAGAGAAGTACCTCAGTAGGGTAAATGCCATGAAGTCCGCCTTCCAAAGCAGTCATTTTCTCCAGGAAAAGTAGAATAAATCAGTGGATGCTGATTTCATGATTCTCCTTGATGTGCAGATAGATACCGGCTTTCTCAGGCCATCAAAGTGACATCTGCCAGGAAATGGCAATTCAGATGTAGATCCAGTCATGGATTGCGTGACAGCGAGTCTCTCAGCAATGGTGGAATGGATTGTCTTTTTGAACTGCAGTTGCTGCTAACAATGGCGAATATGCTCCTTTCCCTCAGGCCAGGCTTTAGTGTATTCACTAGCTTCATTAACATGAAATGCAAGTACACAGGCAAAGTACCATCTATGTGTAAACCTTCTCACAACAGGTGACTGCAAATAGTTTTCCCTGCGCCTAGGGTATGTGTGTGCACTATTCCTATAGAGTGTCAGCAAGTCTCAGTCCACAAAACACAAATATTAATCCATTTCTCAACAACTGATACCCCAAAACTCAGGAGTGCACAAACTACTGAATTATGCAATATTAATTAGGGAAAAACGGAATATTCGTATCTATAATGAGGATCAAGTTGATTAAAAATGCAAATATTCAGTTCAGTTTGTGCTTTGGACATGTCAAGTATTTATCCAAATGATTGGAGGATGGGAGACGTGCCGCAAGACTGGAGGACGACAGATGTTATCTCAATTTTCAAAAAAGGGAGGAGGGATGACCCAGGAAACTACAGGGCAGTCAATCTGACCTCTGTCCCAGGGAAGATACTGGAGCAGATTTTAAAGGGATCAGTCTGTGAACATCTAAAGGACAACTTGGTGATCTGGGGAAGTCAGCTGTCCCCAACAGGTCCTGCCAGACCAAACTAATTTCCTTCTTTGATCAAGTGACAAGCTTATTGGATCGAGGGAATGCTGTTGTTGTTGTTTACCTGGATATCAATAAACCTTTTGACAGGGTTCCCCATGATGTTCTGATGGGTAAACTAGAGGACTGTGGACTGGACTCTAGGATAGTTAGGTGGATAGGGAACTGGTTGGAGAACTGCACTCAAGGGTAGTGTCAGGGTTTGATAGTCAGGTCACAACACACAGCACTTCATAAGAAGAATTCTGTTTATTGGTATTCCATAACTATGACACATGTACTTCTTGTGTCAGGAATGGCACCCTGAATTATACTAGGTTCAAAACACCCCCCTTACAAGCGGAAGCCAATAAGCAAAGTCCGCGCACGTGGGGAAAAGAGAGTGGGCAAAAGGAGAAGCCATTTGTTCCCAGCGAGTCGGTAGCAGCTGGTACATCCCAAGGTCAGAAAAGCAAAAGCAGATAAAACCCAGACAGTAGACTTCGTTAGTGTAACAGGCAGAGGCAAGGAGGATTCCCCCCACACATTCCAGAGAATGGCAGTGCTAACTGACAGGTAGTTGTCAAAGGCATTTCATTTGAACGGAGGGAGGTGTCCAGTTGGGTGCCACAGGGCTCAGTTCTGGGCTCAGTACTTTTCAATATTTTTATAAATGATCTTGATGAGGGTGTGGAGGGGCTACTCATTAAATTTGCAGATGACACCAAATTGGGGGGAGCTAGGGTTGACAGGTCCCCTCGTTGCTCCATCAGGGGGATTTGGGGTGTATTCTGGGGGTGGGGTGGGATGCCTCCAAGCCCTGCCCACAAGCCCTGCCCCAAGAGCAACTACCCACCTGGCCATCCCTCTCTCTCCCCTCCTCCTCGATTTAAAGGGCTTCAGGTGATCAGCGGGGCTTCCCCACCAGCAAGCTGGCTGGGGGTGGATTGGAGCCCCCAAAAGTGGGTGAACCCCAGCCCAGACCTGGGGGCTGGTAACCCTAGGGGGACATACACCTACGAACACACCAGAAGATAGAGATAGAATTCAACGAGATCTGAACACACTGGAAAAGTTGGCAGATGTGAACAAGATGTAATTTAACAAGGATAAATGTCGAGTTCTACATCTGAATTAAAAGAAATGAGGAACATGCATACTGGATGAGGGATACACTTTTGGGTAGCAGTGTGTATATACTGTAAGTTAAATAGCAGCAGCCAGTGTGATGCAGCAACAAAAAAGGCTAATGCAATCTTGGGGTGTATCAACAGAGGCATAACATCCAAATCATAAGATATCATAGTCCCACTTTACACTGCATTGATCAGGCCACATCTGAAGTATTGTGTGTAGTTCTGGAGGCCTTACTTCAAAAAGGATGTGGACAGAATGGAGCGGGTACAGAGGAGAGCGACGAGGATGATCGGGGGGCTGGAGACCAAGCTCTATGAGGAAAGGCTGAGGGATTTGGGAATGTTTAGTCCAGAGAAGAGGAGGTTGAGGGGGGACATGATTGCTCTCTTGAAGTATTTGAAGGGCTGTCACTTAGAG